TCTCTTCGGACTTCGGATAATCCTATAATATGCCAGCGTAACTTGTCTATCTCTTCTTCCAGCTCCACAATCTTCTCGTCAGTCCTCAGGGTGCGTGCGTTGTACTCGTATGTTGCCAGGTCGAGTCGTCGTAGGTGGCAACCGAACCTCCACCGGAGATTCTTAGCACCCCCTGCCCCGCCGTTACCATGGTCGCCACCGTAGCCAGGAATAGCGGGGCCGCCGGGGACTGGGGGCCGTTTATTATTGTCATTGCTCATGGGGGGTATATTGCCATAGTTGCCACGCTTGGCGAGCGGGTTGGCAACCGCAGTTTTTTTATTGTTATTTTGGCTATTATCAGGAAGATGCTGCTGCCCATCTCCTGCCTGTTTCCCTTTGTCGCCTTTTACGACACCCACGGGAAGATACGGGGTAGTGGATATTCTTAACCGCCACTACACGGCAACAATTACAATTCTGCTTACAAACGAATATTTCATAGTGTCATTTGAGTTGAGGAACAAACAGCGAAATCCGCCATAAAGGTTTTGTTAGAACTCAAAAGTCATAAATGTGAAAAAAAAATTATATTAATTTAACAAAGGAGCTCTTCATAAACATCGTTAGCCGTTTTATTTTGTGGTGCTAAAATAAACAAGTTAGTGGGATTACAGATACGCGACATTGCCACATAGAGCTGTCACTCACAAGCAAACACTCACCGGTAGTAGGGTCCTTTAACGAAACGGAAAGTTATTTGGAACAATCGGTATTCGTGAAAAAAAAAATAACTTTTTCAGCCGCATCGCAACCGGTAAGTATCTCTGCCTCAACCACATGTCTCTGAAGAGCAACTACTTTGAGCCGAGTACGATGGCATAACTTAGGTGGGCTCAAATTTCTTAAAAGAATTATGGGTAGGTACATTTAATTTCATGTGCAGTGAGCCCTGATGCCGGTAATGCATTCAAAAACTCTACAGGATAAGCTGTTACTTCTTCATGGTCCACTACTCTATTTATTGACGCATACATACGTAACATGTTCGCTTTCAATACGTCCTAAAATGGTCATGTTGATACTTACCGCTTGATCATTACGAGTCGTAAGTATAGCGCGCTCGCAAAGCCAGGAGTTTCCTTGGTTTACTATAATAATAATTCATTTATTTCGGACAATATATATATATATATATATATATATATATATATATATATATATATATCCATAGCTGTTAGTAAATGTTTTCTTATATCTAGTGTTAGTAACATATTGTTGACGACACAAGTATGAAACTGCACCGATGGTGGCAATAAGCCAGTCTACAAGGCAGCATGTAGCCGTATCCAGCGAGCCAACATCGGCGAGTCCCAGCGGTCAGCTAGCGTACGCAGGATGCTGTTGAGGCTGCCGCGCACGCGCCGAAGTAGCGATGCACAGCGCTTGCGCATGATCGCAGCGAATCCGTCCGTGTGCAGCAGCGCGGCAGACCCCTCAGCAACCTGAACACGTTATTATATTGTATGCGCAGGTCGCTGTATGCCCTCCGCGTATAGTCTACCCACAGACTGCACGTGTAAAAGGACTGGCAATAAGCTTTAAAAAGCGTAACTTTAACTTGACTAGAACATCGTGTAAATCTGCGAGCCAACATGTTGCAGCGGACAGACAGCGCCCTCCTCTCTCTTTCAATATCTAAGTTGTCTTTTTGATCCTCCGTGACCCAGTGGCCCAAATACTTAAAACACTCCACCGTCTTTAAAGGAGTACCACCTAACGTAAAATTCGGTATATTAGTGTAACGTTTATTATCCGGTCTAAATACTCGTATCATAAATGCACTCTTTATAGCGTTGTATTATAGCCCCTGGGCCGCTATATAGAATTCACATATATTAATCATTTTCTTTAGAGCACCACTCGATGGGCTCAGCAACACCATATCATCTGCGTAGCTGATATTGTTGACACAGACTTCGTCTATATGACAACCAATACCGGTGCTGCTGAGCTCATCAATCAACCCGTTCATGTAAAAGGTTGAATTGAAAAGCGTTAGAGAGCTTAGTCCCCCCTGCCTCACACCGCAATCCAAGCTATACTCCTCGGAAAGCGAGCCTGCCCATCGTACATTGTTTTTTTGATTACTATACCAGTACTTAAAAAGCGATACAATTTCTCGAGGCAAGTCAGTCTCAAAATTCATTTTATTCCACAGGATCTCATAGGATACAAGGTCAAAAGCCTTCGACAAATCTAAATAGCAAGCATATACTGGTGTCTTTCTTGCAGTTTAATACTGGACAGTCTGCTTGAGGCACAAAATAGCACTCTCGGTTGAAAGACCAGGTCTGAAGCCGAACTGTGCGTCATTGAGCGAGACGTACTTATTTAGGCGCCGACTAAGCAAACTGTCCAGTACTTTCGCAATCACCGTAGCCAGGGATATTGGCCTATAATTAGACACATCTGATGAATCACCGGTCTTGTTTTTTATAACAGGTACAACTATAGTACGTATTAGGCTTTCAGATAGATAAGAATGTGCTACACAAAGATTAAAAAACAAAGCTAGTACTCTTGGCAAGTGTACTCCTGCGTACTGTAGATGCTCGATGCTGAGGCTGTCATATCCAGGCGATTTGCCCCGCACCATGCCTTTAATTATTTCCTCTACTTTTTGCACGTGAAATTTCACACTAAGATATGTACTGCACGCCTCAGCATCAAGCTCCCGCCGCATCGGCTCCAGTGGAGAGTCTACCTTAAAGTGCCGCCGGAACATACCAGCCAGATCTTCATCATTATCATCATTACAGGTCTCCCTCGAGGTACGCTACAAAGCACGGTCTCGAGCCACCTGCATCCATTGGCTTCCATTTGTCGTTTGTTGTCCTATATATATATATAACTTGTGACCTGTGACTGTTTGCACGAATTGTGAATGTAAAAGTATTTCCCGAATGGAATTCTACTTTTTATTCAAAATAATTGTGATAATCGCTTCGAACAATCTTCCCTAGTATTATAAGGCAGAAACGTTCTTTTTATAACAAAAGTATAATAATGAAACAATTTTGAGTAATTCATGGAAACAACTTGCAACTGTAAAACACTGTTTTTATCTTTATAATACATGAAAGATACATAATATAAAATTAAAAATTTTGTACTGCCGACTTCCATATAAGTTATTAAGAATAAATCAAAAACTATTGGTCTGATCTTGATCAAATTCATATGGGACCACACCAGCTTTCAAATAAAAAAGAATCATCCAAATCGGTTCACCCAGTAAAAAGTTATGAGGTAACACACATAAAAAAACATACAGTCGAATTGAGTACCGTCTCCTTTTTGGAAGTCGGCAGAAAAGCATCTCGTTTATTAAATAATATTTTTTTTATTTCAAAATATTAAATCATTTATACACAATACAGTAGTTCAGAACACTATGCTACTATTTGTACTATGCAATAAATAAATGAAAGTAAAATAATATCTGGACGTACATACAACAATTCCTTGCAATTGAAAAAAAATCGCTTTAAACATTGAGTTATATGTACTACGTACTAGAGAAGCCATTCCGAACATTGACTATGTTCAACTGAACTGTAGTGCAATCCATACAAACTAAATATTGCGTAAATTGAAGATTTGTGAATTCCATAAAATAATTATTATTACATTTTATTTAGAAATATGTTTTTTTAGATTAAATTAAGATATTTTATATTAAATTTTTATATTTATTTTATATTAATATCTTATTTTATATTAAATTAAAGTCTTCGCGCATGCGCGACTACTACACCCGCGCATCGCGAAGACATAGAGTAGGACACAATTTTTGTTTGGAATGGCTTCTCTAGTACGTAGTACATATAACTCAATGGGCTTAAACATATCATATCATCAGTAGGACAATTTGAAAAAAAACGCATAAAAAAATTGAGGGGTAATAGTTTTCGATACTCATGCGCCGATTCCTCCTGGACTATACCTCAGTAGCTATTATTCCTCAATTGTCACTGACGATACATTCAAACTTACTTCCGTTCTTATAGCACTATAGTAAGTATGTCTTGCTCCCCCCTCCCCCCCCCCGAACGGGTACCCGCCTTTTCGTGGGAGGCTTAGTAGCCGTGCCTTGGTCACCCGCGATGAACAAAGAGGAACCCCTTGGCTGGCCTGTGGTGTAGGGCCGTTCCGAGGTGGCCAATACGAGTGGGCTTTGCGAGCCCACTTCGGATGTGTGTCGGTGGGCTGCGACGAGAGGGGTGCCCTCTCCTCCTACCGCTGCAGCCGAGGTGCAGTCGTGGGGGAAGAGGAGTGTTGGTATGACAATGCGCCACTCGCCCTATCCACCGCGACTCTGATGGTGCCGAACCGTTAAATGATGCGGTGCTGGTAGGGCTGCGGGGGGAGAGGAATGTTGGTATTGCGTGCGCCGCTCTCCCTACCCTCCGCAGCTGAATCTTGGCTGGCGGCGGAGCCATAGATCAGATCCGCCACTGGGGTCGGGAAGGCTGGTGCTTCTGAGTGCTAGTATTTCCTGGCCCCATGGCCTACGCGCATCGGACACATGGTCGTCTGTTGCGCATGTTAAGTTGGAGGCTGGGGAGTAGTAGTCTCTCCCAAGGAGGAGCCGCCATGGGGCGGCCAGCGGATGTGTGCCAAAAGCGTTCCCGTGGCCCTGCCAATATGCGACGAAGGTGGAACACCATGGGGTTTTAGTCGGTGCGAGTCCAACATAACCCGTCCTTGCCCCCGCGAGGCGGGTATGCGTAGGCATTTCCACATAAAAAAAAGGTATATCTTGCTCAATTAACATGTGTAAGGTTAGGGCTTGCAAAGGAAAATGTCGAATCGTAAAATGGAAATGACGATATCCATAATATGTACTAAAGAGTATATATCGATACACAAACATGATGTGTCTTTTTTCTGGTTTTAGAACAGGTGTAGGACTTAAGTCTTAAGTGAAGTGTAGGACAATGAAATACTCCATTCTTGTCAAATATTATTTATTTTTAAAATTACATATTATGTATAACTTAAGTATATTATAAAGTAAAAACGTTCAGTTATTTTTTTTTAATTTGAACTTTAATATATCTATAAAATAAATATAGAAACGGAATTAAAATAATATTAATATAGACGTTTTCTATTATTTAAAAATTAACAACATTTTTTATTACTTTTTGATAAGAAAGTTATTTGATTTAATAAATGGCTATACGGTCATATTTTATTCTAAATAAATTATTTTTCTTAATCTATTATCAAAGGCTATTGATTAGCAAATTATAAGTACACTTAAAAATATTTAAACTAAGGCAGTAGCAAGAAGAAGTTGTACATATAATTTAAAAATAAATATTACCCACCTTCTGTGGTAATCAGGTAAAAAGGCACGTGCCAAAACAAGTGATGATTTTTTTTTAAATACGACTACAACACCTTTTTTTTTAAATTGCATATAGACAAACATCCAGCCCCAATCTTCCTAAACGGGAGTACAGTTTTCCACCGTCTGCTGCTAGCAACATTGGTAGTCAAGTTATCGCTGCAAAAATCCTATTAAGACCTTTGTCCCGTTTCTCTTTTACATTTTAATGTTTGGAATAACAAGTTCTAGAGACTTCAGCTGCTTCTAAATTTACAAATAACAAACTGTTAAAAAAGAATGTAATGACAAATGAATCTGAAGCAAATATGTGTCTTTAAAACAATTCTCTTGAATAATTTAATTGACTCTTCTCTACTTCTCTCAAAGGTATCATTTATTGCTCGTGCTCGTCTTCCAGTGCGATCCTCACGTAAAATGCCACTTTTTGTTCCTCCGCGGTTACATAAAAGATATACTCGTAACGCATTCGTATACCGTTCCACTGACTTATATAATAAACAATTTACTAATATCGACCTTTTTAACACATCTCTCAATACCTTAAAACAAACATTAAAAACCAATTTAAGTAAGGTTTGCAAGTGAGTTGCAATTTTTTTTTTTGGTATGTATATGTATATATACCTATATATTCTATTAATGCTTCTGTACTTAGTCGTTTTGTTATGTAAATAATAGCTATGTAGTGTTACCATGTAACTTTCTTTTAAATTGTGTTTAACTTTTCGGCACTGTAGGTCAATTTTTAAGAGATAAGTTGTTTGTATTGCATTTTCTTTTGTATACGACTGTTTGTTGCCAAAATAAATTAAAAAAAAAAAAATTCTATTCTTTAAAATGTTATTCTCACAGTTTTGCCGCGCTTACTACCACGTCGATTAAATAAAGTATTAAAACAGTGTCTCATACCCTGATTGGTTTATAATTTATAGTAATACATACGTATGTATGTGTCATTATAAATTCATATAGTTATTACTATTATTTCTAATACATACATACGTGTATGTCCACTATTATACAGTACAGTTTCGTGTGAAATATAGTCGGCGCTGAATATAGTATTGACGGTTCCGTAGCTCAGAGCTTAGCTTATGTTTAGTCGCGGCGCTGTAGAATTCCGGGTTCAAATCTCGCACGGAACAAGTATTTCTATGGCCTACAACTAATTGTTTCGGTTCTGAATGTGTCCATGTGCAATTTATGTTGATGAAATGCCTCCCAGATTCAGGATAAAAATAAAACTATACTGTAACATTTAAAAATATAGTTTAAAAAAAAATAGAAAACTGTTGCCATTTGTCAAGTGTGTCGAGTGGACTTATATAATAATTAATAAAATATATGATATATTAATATTTGGTTAAAAACTAAGGGTCAAACGAGCGAAGGGCGTTTGAGGCTCACGATGGGTACGTTAATGTTGGGCGGCGGCGACGTCGAGGGCGAAAGGCCATTTGAATATTGGTGGACTGAGAGATGTGACTGCAATATTACAAATACATATATTTAATTAGAATTTATTCTACATTTAACTATAAATAAAAGAAATAGAACAAAGAAGTGATTTAATTATAGATCCACTAGGAAACAATTACCATATGTAAGATTATAACAGATTTTTTACTATTATAGTTCGGCCGTTCAGAGAATGCGTTCCTGACACGTCGCGATTGAACTGACGACGTAACTTTGTAATGGCGTTGCAGTTACGATAAAAATATTTTTGCTGGTTGTTTATCGTTTTAACAATAGATGAGTATTAAAACAACATTATTATATCAATAATCAATGAATGTTATAATTTTGAGCCAAACTGAGTGTCAAATAACTTGGTAAACAATATTTTTCTAAATCTATACTGCGCTATTACAAGGTTATGTCAGCGCTTTATATTTGTAGTGCTGTGCTAACAATAACAGGCAATAACAGTATCGTAATCTGTTCTTATAGAGTTATACTTTATAAAATAATACGTTTTGTTTTTCTTTTTAAGAATTTGAAAACTAATGGACTATAAGATAACTTTTATTAAATATAAAAATAAAACTACGACCAAACCGAACGCGCGAAAGAAAGTAGCATTTTTATATTTAGGTTGAAAATGGTAACCCCAAATGGCGTAATGGGCCGCCATTTTGTGACGCTAAAACAGTCGTCTGTTGTCGTTTCGTGCGCATAGACCACGTTCTTCAAGTGTTTTCGATCTGTTTTTATTTGATTACCCGGCTTTCGTTTAATGGACTGTTTCTGCTTTTCAAACTGACATCGGCGCTAAATCGGATTTCGATTGTGTTTTGTATTGCGTTCTTTTTACTTTTGGTGCATAATAATGCCTAAACGTGGACAAACATTGAAAAATGGAGCCCGTGAGTTAATCATCAAGCTGCAAGATTACTTTGAGCGGGAGCGGCAAAATGGCGGACCCCTGTTACCTGTCGAACAAATACAAGAACGCGTCTCTCAGGCGCTTGGAGTTAGCAAACGAACGATAAGAAATATTAATAAAGAAAAGTTCGGCTCTACTGGCACGGAAGATAATATTTTACGTACTCCGAAGAAGAAACGTAGAACTAAACCCGTGACAGATATTGACACCTTTAACGCCGATGCAATCAGAAATCATATATATGGTTACTATTCCAGAAATGAATATCTCAACAGGAAGAAGCTTTTGGCATCGTTAAGAGAAGCTGGACTGTTTAGCGGGGGTAAAACTGCTTTAACCAAAATCTTAAAAGATATTGGTTTTTCGTATGAAAAAAAAGACTAATGAAAAATTTTATTAGAACGATACGACATAATTTTAAAACGGATAAGTTTTTTGAGAGAAGCAAAAAATATTGATAACTGGGATAATAATATAATTATACATGTAGGCGAAGATGATGATGAAGACACCACCTCCTCAAGCGAATCGGAGTCTGATTAATATTCTGTACGCACATTCAATTCAATGTACTTTATTGCATAGAAATTCAGATTGTAACTTTGTAACAAAGAATAAATAAAACAATTTTATTATATTAATATTGCCTTTTTTTGTTTTCCACTTAAATTACTAAAATATAAATTTTAAATGATTCCGCCAATTTAAAACGAAAATAATCTTAAAAATAACGCGGCGGTTCATTTTGGACGAGCGGTGACGAACTCAGTGTTATGTTGTGCCCATCACTAGTCGTGACTAACTGATAGATATCAGGAACGCATTTTCTGAACGGCCGAACTATAAGCGGAAAGTGTAATAAGTAGAGCTTAACAAAAAAACAAACAAAAATATTAAAAAATTCACATTTTTTACTAAAATAGACTTTATCAAGTAATTTAAAAATTTTGTTGAAAAATTCTATTCCAACTACTAAACTAGCAGCACTTATTGGCTAATGGAATAGGTATATAAATCTATATCCGCTCTTTTACCACAAATTCCTTCGTCGCTTTTCGTTTATCATCATCATCATTATTATCATCACTACGGCCAATTACAGAACCAAGGCCTCCCCATGTCACAAATCATGGACCTGAGCCACCTGCATGAGCCGTTCTTCGAGATATGGCTTGTTCGGAGAAAAAAAAAACGGGGATTCGTTGTGGATTTTATCACAGGAATCCCACCCTAGACACAGGCCTCCTCACACTTCAAAGAGGGTTTTAGGAAAAGGAAGTATCCACCGCGCTGCCCTAATGGGTTTTTTTCACAGATTTCACATGTCTTTGAAATATTTTTTAATTTTTCGAGAGGAAGCCCTCACGATGTTTTCCTTCATCACGGAGCACGTAATTACCCAGCCCTTGAAATTGTAAGTTAACATTTTTCTTTGGTGCCGCTGGGGAAGTGGTTGCTGTGGCCCATAGACATCTACATCTATCCTCGTTTGTGAGTCAAAATGCAGATGCGTTGTCAGCCTTGAGGACTAAGATGGAATGCCTCTTTTCCAGTAAAAAGTGTTTCCGGTTCTCTACACTCACCATACGAAACACAGCAATATCAAGCTGCTATATATATATTTAATATCACAGGAGAAACCACGAGTATATCCATCTTAATGACTTGCTGTATAATTATGAGCTTCTTCATACCGCCAACCGTAAGGGCCAACGGTTGGTACCATAAGCATCAAACGCAATGAAAATATAAAAACACTGGTTTCAATCTATTTAAATAATCTCTGAAAATCAATCATCTTATTCTATCCCATTATATACATATTATAAATTAATATCTTATTAAATAGAAGTTTTGTTTTAAGTCTATTTTGCGCACGCCCCTTTGGAAAGGATGAAACTTGACTTGACAGTTCAAACTTCAAACTATTTACATTTATTTTTCTGTGTTAACTAGGGAGATAAAAAAAATTGCGTACATATCTACAAAATAATAATAAAAAATACAAAATATTAAAATTCCAACAAGTAACAGTTAAAACAACAATTCAAGTAATCGATCTCAGATCGATATCCCTACTTCACATAGTTGTTGTTGTTTTAACTTTCGTTAATTGTTTCACCATTTCGTTTCATTATTAACCACAGATTCTTTTGGTGATTTTATACTGATTTTGATTTTATATCTTTAAGTAATTATATTTAAAAATAACCTGTTACAACGTAATAACAGTGAAAAATCACCTGTTACAGTGTAGGTAATAGATAATCTCACTTTTACTTATTTTACAATAACTCAGCGCATAGATTGACAAATCTTGCCAGATTTTCAGCTATGAATTGTTTATATATACGCTTTCAAATGGTCCTACTTTCATTTTGTTAACACTTGGGCCCAAGAATATATGGAGATGTCTCGTTCTCCTTTCCTACATATACCCGCCAACACCAATAACCCTAAAAGTTCCATGAAACTATTGCACACACTTACGTACGTAACTACGAGTAGTCTGGTTGTACTTGTCTTAGTTGCATCAAGAAATAAGAAGATACAATATTGATACACTAATACAATGAAATTATTCTTTCCAATCGAAACACACAACACCAACAAACATGTAAACCAAACATAATATTGAATAAATGCTTTATTTCGTCACACGGAAATAGTTTATTCATATTTTATTTTAGCACTAGTACACTCTGCTTTAATTTACAGTTAGTAAGTATGTTATTTACGTTGAAAAATAAAGATAAGATTTTTGTTTTAAACGTTTAATATATGATGGCATAGTCATAGTATTGCCATCACGTCTACTGTAAAGAAAAGAAATCTTTATTTTTAAAATGAAGAATATTTCGTTACGAAGTTAAACACATTTATTTCTTTTAAGATAATGAAAATGTAAAAAAAATTCTCAATGCATTTACGTGCAATTGTAATTTATGGGGAAATCGTGGGAAATATGATACTTGGATATACGATTTTTTTTAAAGTAGAACAAACAAGGCAAAGGACTTGTATTAAGAAAAATATTTCACACATTTCATCATAGCATTAGGCGTGAGTGCGAAATACCTTCAGTAGAGAAGATCGTAGCACACTGTTGTATCTATTGTACAAAAGAAAAATATTAACACAGAAACTAAACACAGAAAGACTTCGTTTTATGTCCCGTCTGTTGATTCTTAAAATTAAGCGGGAAATTATTTTGAATGTAAAATATAAAATAATAAAAATATTTTTTTTTTCTAAAATTAAAAAATGGGGACATGTTGACATATTGCCAACATAAAAAAATAATTTTCCAATTAGTACATTTTATTTCCAGCAACATGATAACATTTAACTTGTTATAATATGTAATATGTATGTGTATATATTTTAATATAAGTGTATAAAGTTTTTCATACATTTACATCAACTTAATAATTTACATTAGAATTAAGTACAAGTAGTTTTGTATATATCTTCGAAAAAATTATTGTAAGTGTAGATTAATAAAGTATGAATGTAAACAATATATTAAAATTTTGATTAAAATTTGGAACCTAATTAAATTTTAAATTAATAATAATTAAACAAATATAAATGTTGATATTTTTCACGTAGGTTAAACATAACTAAACATAATAACACTTATAGGATTTATTTGCGAATGTTAAACACATTTTATGAATGTTATCTGGTAGGGCATTCCGCAAGCGGATATATGTATTAATAATAAAATTAATGTGACCATCACAACAATAGAAGAAGATTGAACTTTACAAAGTTAATACAAAACTACCAAAAACACACAACAACGATAACAAACAATGTTACAATCACAAGAAGCAATAAACACACTTACCAGTATAACGAACAATTTAAGCTCAAGTACATATTATTATATCAGAGCGAAATATTATAATTATCGAAAAAGCTTCAATGAACGCATAAATCTCAAAACATCTTCAACATGAAAAACATTGAGTACGATTTGTCGAAAGATGTGCGATGACATGGCGATGACATTTTAGGCTTAGTATAGATTTAAAAAAAAATGTTTTAATTCATTTAAGATTAATTTCATCAAGTGTTAAATGCTCTAATGAGCATACAAATTAACCTTATAAATTTAATAATATGTAATAATGAATGAAATACTCAGATCTAAATTATTATTTAAACTATGTAAGAAATGGGTTATCTTATGTAGGAAAGGGGTAAATTTCTATATTTTAGTCAAATATTTTAAGTTCGAAGAGTATAAAATCGAGGTTTTGGAACGTGAAGAATGCGAAATATCAACTTCAGATATTTTTATTTAAAGCATATTGCCGTCTTGTATGTAGTTAAATTGGACATTATATTGAATTGTTGGGAGGATAATAAAAAGTTATCTAAAGGTAATATAAAACCATAAAAAAATTTGATTTTTGTTAATAAAACAATTTAAACTCACTATTCAACATGAGATTTTAAAAATTAATTCATAAAAGTAGAAACAAACTATACATTAAAGATATTCTGACAAATTATTCTTAAGGAACTAATGCTCTATCTAATGGAGGCACCATAATGCTGGCACTACACGATCGTCCAATTCCAAACATTCCCCAAACCTAAGCGAACTCGTTCAAAGTTCAAACCAGTACTTGGTAATAAGCGAAAAGACAGAAAGATGATGGTCGCTGGTTAAACGTGAACGTCTATCGCTGAGCCGACTCGGCTCTACTACGTGGTACACGCGTGTTGGATTCAGTGTTTGATACAGTGTGTTGGATACAGTCTACACATTTAGTGTGGGATGAATCGTTGGAGGGTTGAACGATTGTCTAGAGCCGGCTTAACACTATTGTGTCAAACTACTTCAAATGTCAACTCGAGGGAAGTGTACAAAAAATGAAATGGCACTTGGAAGCTTAGCGACCTATCTCACCTAATTATCACATTGTGGAAAACTTAACTCGCTAATAACTTTAACAAGTTAATTGGGGCACTTTATACAGCCCTAAATATTTAATCACTAAACTTATTTTATATAAACAGTAAAACTCCATATAACATGGCAATGTTAAATATAGTCAAAGCAGCTGTCTTATAGCAAATTTTTAAAACTGTGCCACGTCTGGTTACAAGTCACAGAACGGAACCAACATTAATGTAAAAAAAAGAGGCAGTCATAAGGACTACCGAAAAAAGTGAAAACTAAATGATATATGCATATACATGTACACAGGTCGCTATACTGCGCGTCGCTAGTCTGGCGCAAGCGCAATACGCCACGAGCATGTCGAGGTCATCTGTGACGCGAACCCATAAGTTTTTCCCCTGCCAAAAATCGCTTAACGCGGCTAAAGAAGTTTTACTTCAAAAAAAAATATTTGTGTTTGTCTCCATGATCAAAAACGTATCATAGCTTATCGCTATCATGTATCACGTAAGCTAGAATCAGTGATTGGCTCCGTACTAGTAGTCTTACTATCAAATCTCTTGTCAAATTAAATAGTTCTGACTGTATTCAGAAGTTGTTGCCGGAAGCGAAACCAAAATCTTACATGGTACCATTTTAAGCGGGGGTTCTAAGCCATCGCGCTACCGACCTGGCAACCTATAAGCCGCGCACAAAAGGTTTACTGATAATCCCATATACTTTAGTCTTCCGCGGCCACGTTTTTCTACAATCGTTAAAGCCCATAGAAAACTATAGAAATAAATAAATTCAATTATTTATTTCTATAGTTTATCTATATACATATTCCGAAATGAATTCACAGATTATAGTTGTAGCATGAATAGGTCAGCTCGACCGGGCTAGGACATAATACCAGCTTAATGCTGCTGTAGAAAACCGGAGACCCTTTTGACTGGAAACAAGACGTTTCATCTTAATTCTCAGGGGTGTGTGGTTGGGTGTGTTAGGGTGGGTTTATCCCAAGTGGTAACATTGAAAATTATGTACAACCGACTTCAATATAAATTACTAAGTATAACTCAAAAACTATTGGTCAGACCTTGATCAAATATTGAACCACATTACCGACAAGTGACACGTGACCATCACGCGACTTAACTTTGAAATATGTATGCGATTGTAGAGAGTGCGCGGATCGTAGTATACTAACAAAGTTCACATCATACATCATCATGTTAAATGAATTAAATTAACTGTGACAGATATGGGGGCAGTTCCAAAATATACAGCTCCATATGGATTTTAATACAATTTTATATGACGCAGAAATTAATATTAATTTTGCTGTGCCAATGTTTGATTACGTATAATTATATTCAAAACTCTACCATAAACAGTAAACTTGTGTCAAATTGTATAAAGAATTTAACAATGCCATGTTACGTGAAGGCCCTCTGTTTTGTGTAAAAATAATGTAAATTTAAATCGTCGATGTTACGCTCGATGTGATTTATCTGCGACTCGACATCCCTTCCTGCAATATGGTTTTTATATTATAATTTAGATACATATTTTAAACTAAAATAAAAATACTATCTTTACTATATATTTAATACATGCCAACGCATTTTATACCTGGTTAGTCAACAGAGAGAACACTTTTTTAATAATTAACATTTAAATTAAATTCGTCGTTAAGTGTTATGACCATTAATTACGAGTAACAAAACAAGCAAGGAATACATTAGCACAACATCCCGGTCCAAACCACCACTAAGATTTGATATGAATGAAATGTTATACTCTTACTGAACTACTTAATGAATCTTTAAATTAATTTTATTATTGTAAATAAATTAATAATTATTGTGTATGAATTGGAGATTGTTTGTAAATTGTGTGAGAATGTATTTTTTTTTTTAGAAAATACGCTTTTAATTTTTGGTAATTTGAAATAAAAGATTCAGTTTCGTTCGTTTCTAATATAAATAAAAAAAGAACCTGTAATTCGTTTGCAAGCCATACTTCATGTATTTGTTAACTTCTATAGAAAGGATACTATTGACGACATATTAAATTTTGAAAACTATAAGGTTTAATTTCGGTTTCACTTTTTAATGCAATAGGGTCGATTTTCGTTTACACTAAATAGTGTTATGTGGAGTAATTTTAAGTCTATATATAAGGAAATCGCTAAATTAGCGAATTAAGAAACACTAGATCGTTTATTTGTTCGTATGTATGGGTGTATGCGTGAGTATAAATGTGTATTGCTAAGTTTGGCTATATAAAGGATACTACATGTTGAAAACTATAAGGTTTAATGTAGGTTTCAGTTTTTTATGCAATAGGATCGATTTTTGTTTGCACTATATATAGTATTATGTAGAGTAATTTTAAGTCTAATAAGGAAATGGGTAAAACAGCGTATTGCGAAACACTAGATTATTTGTTTGTTCATATGTATGGGTGTATGCGTGAGTATAAGTGTGTAGTGCTAAGTTTGGAGGCATACCTTGAAAATATTGGTAAGTTCGTCAAGCAGAGTCTCGTAGCGGAAAGAGATACGTATGTCAGGCACGTTGGTGCGAGTTATGTCATTGCCGGCCACACCCTCCTTCATGTAGTTGGGGCCCAGCCAGTACTGCTTCATCTGGCGATCACAGTTTACATATTACAGTAAGTGTATTTTTTTGTGGTTGCAGTGGTCCATAGACATCATCTATCCTCGATTACGAATCAAAATGCAGATGCGTTGTCACCCGTGAGGACTAAGACAGAATTCCTCGACATGTCGCACGAGCTCAGCTTCCACACCTGCGCCGCGATGCTGTACTCCTGCATCAGCGCACTCACCTCGTGCGGGAAGCCGGACATGAGCACGGAGTTGCGCGCCAGCTCGCACATGTCGCACGAGCTCAGCTTCCACACCTGCGCCGCGATGCTGTACTCCTGCATCAGCGCACTCACCTCGTGCGGGAAGCCGGACATGAGCACGGAGTTGCGCGCCAGCTCGCACATGTCGCACGAGCTCAGCTTCCACACCTGCGCCGCGATGCTGTACTCCTGCATCAGCGCACTCACCTCGTGCGGGAAGCCGGACATGAGCACGGAGTTGCGCGCCAGCTCGCACATGTCGCACGAGCTCAGCTTCCACACCTGCGCCGCGATGCTGTACTCCTGCATCAGCGCACTCACCTCGTGCGGGAAGCCGGACATGAGCACGGAGTTGCGCGCCAGCTCGCACATGTCGCACGAGCTCAGCTTCCACACCTGCGCCGCGATGCTGTACTCCTGCATCAGCGCACTCACCTCGTGCGGGAAGCCGGACATGAGCACGGAGTTGCGCGCCAGCTCGCACATGTCGCACGAGCTCAGCTTCCACACCTGCGCCGCGATGCTGTACTCCTGCATCAGCGCACTCACCTCGTGCGGGAAGCCGGACATGAGCACGGAGTTGCGCGCCAGCTCGCACATGTCGCACGAGCTCACCTTCCACACCTGCGCCGCGATGCTGTACTCCTGCATCAGCGCACTCACCTCGTGCGGGAAGCCGGACATGAGCACGGAGTTGCGCGCCAGCTCGCACATGTCGCACGAGCTCAGCTTCCACACCTGCGCCGCGATGCTGTACTCCTGCATCAGCGCACTCACCTCGTGCGGGAAGCCGGACATGAGCACGGAGTTGCGCGCCAGCTCGCACATGTCGCACGAGCTCAGCTTCCACACCTGCGCCGCGATGCTGTACTCCTGCATCAGCGCACTCACCTCGTGCGGGAAGCCGGACATGAGCACGGAGTTGCGCGCCAGCTCGCACATGTCGCACGAGCTCAGCTTCCACACCTGCGCCGCGATGCTGTACTCCTGCATCAGCGCACTCACCTCGTGCGGGAAGCCGGACATGAGCACGGAGTTGCGCGCCAGCTCGCACATGTCGCACGAGCTCAGCTTCCACACCTGCGCCGCGATGCTGTACTCCTGCATCAGCGCACTCACCTCGTGCGGGAAGCCGGACATGAGCACGGAGTTGCGCGCCAGCTCGCACATGTCGCACGAGCTCAGCTTCCACACCTGCGCCGCGATGCTGTACTCCTGCATCAGCGCACTCACCTCGTGCGGGAAGCCGGACATGAGCACGGAGTTGCGCGCCAGCTCGCACATGTCGCACGAGCTCAGCTTCCACACCTGCGCCGCGATGCTGTACTCCTGCATCAGCGCACTCACCTCGTGCGGGAAGCCGGACATGAGCACGGAGTTGCGCGCCAGCTCGCACATGTCGCACGAGCTCACCTTCCACACCTGCGCCGCGATGCTGTACTCCTGCATCAGCGCACTCACCTCGTGCGGGAAGCCGGACATGAGCACGGAGTTGCGCGCCAGCTCGCACATGTCGCACGAGCTCAGCTTCCACACCTGCGCCGCGATGCTGTACTCCTGCATCAGCGCACTCACCTCGTGCGGGAAGCCGGACATGAGCACGGAGTTGCGCGCCAGCTCGCACATGTCGCACGAGCTCAGCTTCCACACCTGCGCCGCGATGCTGTACTCCTGCATCAGCGCACTCACCTCGTGCGGGAAGCCGGACATGAGCACGGAGTTGCGCGCCAGCTCGCACATGTCGCACGAGCTCAGCTTCCACACCTGCGCCGCGATGCTGTACTCCTGCATCAGCGCACTCACCTCGTGCGGGAAGCCGGACATGAGCACGTAGTTGCGCGCCAGCTCGCACATGTCGCACGAGCTCAGCTTCCACACCTGCGCCGCGATGCTGTACTCCTGCATCAGCGCACTCACCTCGTGCGGGAAGCCGGACATGAGCACGGAGTTGCGCGCCAGCTCGCACATTTCGCACGAGCTCAGCTTCCACACCTGCGCCGCGATGCTGTACTCCTGCATCAGCGCACTCACCTCGTGCGGGAAGCCGGACATGAGCACGGAGTTGCGCGCCAGCTCGCACATGTCGCACGAGCTCAGCTTCCACACCTGCGCCGCGATGCTGTACTCCTGCATCAGCGCACTCACCTCGTGCGGGAAGCCGGACATGAGCACGGAGTTGCGCGCCAGCTCGCACATGTCGCACGAGCTCAGCTTCCACACCTGCGCCGCGATGCTGTACTCCTGCATCAGCGCACTCACCTCGTGCGGGAAGCCGGACATGAGCACGGAGTTGCGCGCCAGCTCGCACATGTCGCACGAGCTCAGCTTCCACACCTGCGCCGCGATGCTGTACTCCTGCATCAGCGCACTCACCTCGTGCGGGAAGCCGGACATGAGCACGGAGTTGCGCGCCAGCTCGCACATGTCGCACGAGCTCAGCTTCCACACCTGCGCCGCGATGCTGTACTCCTGCATCAGCGCACTCACCTCGTGCGGGAAGCCGGACATGAGCACGGAGTTGCGCGCCAGCTCGCACATGTCGCACGAGCTCACCTTCCACACCTGCGCCGCGATGCTGTACTCCTGCATCAGCGCACTCACCTCGTGCGGGAAGCCGGACATGAGCACGGAGTTGCGCGCCAGCTCGCACATGTCGCACGAGCTCAGCTTCCACACCTGCGCCGCGATGCTGTACTCCTGCATCAGCGCACTCACCTCGTGCGGGAAGCCGGACATGAGCACGGAGTTGCGCGCCAGCTCGCACATGTCGCACGAGCTCAGCTTCCACACCTGCGCCGCGATGCTGTACTCCTGCATCAGCGCACTCACCTCGTGCGGGAAGCCGGACATGAGCACGGAGTTGCGCGCCAGCTCGCACATGTCGCACGAGCTCAGCTTCCACACCTGCGCCGCGATGCTGTACTCCTGCATCAGCGCACTCACCTCGTGCGGGAAGCCGGACATGAGCACGGAGTTGCGCGCCAGCTCGCACATGTCGCACGAGCTCAGCTTCCACACCTGCGCCGCGATGCTGTACTCCTGCATCAGCGCACTCACCTCGTGCGGGAAGCCGGACATGAGCACGGAGTTGCGCGCCAGCTCGCACATGTCGCACGAGCTCAGCTTCCACACCTGCGCCGCGATGCTGTACTCCTGCATCAGCGCACTCACCTCGTGCGGGAAGCCGGACATGAGCACGGAGTTGCGCGCCAGCTCGCACATGTCGCACGAGCTCAGCTTCCACACCTGCGCCGCGATGCTGTACTCCTGCATCAGCGCACTCACCTCGTGCGGGAAGCCGGACATGAGCACGGAGTTGCGCGCCAGCTCGCACATGTCGCACGAGCTCAGCTTCCACACCTGCGCCGCGATGCTGTACTCCTGCATCAGCGCACTCACCTCGTGCGGGAAGCCGGACATGAGCACGGAGTTGCGCGCCAGCTCGCACATGTCGCACGAGCTCAGCTTCCACACCTGCGCCGCGATGCTGTACTCCTGCATCAGCGCACTCACCTCGTGCGGGAAGCCGGACATGAGCACGGAGTTGCGCGCCAGCTCGCACATGTCGCACGAGCTCAGCTTCCACACCTGCGCCGCGATGCTGTACTCCTGCATCAGCGCACTCACCTCGTGCGGGAAGCCGGACATGAGCACGGAGTTGCGCGCCAGCTCGCACATGTCGCACGAGCTCAGCTTCCACACCTGCGCCGCGATGCTGTACTCCTGCATCAGCGCACTCACCTCGTGCGGGAAGCCGGACATGAGCACGGAGTTGCGCGCCAGCTCGCACATGTCGCACGAGCTCAGCTTCCACACCTGCGCCGCGATGCTGTACTCCTGCATCAGCGCACTCACCTCGTGCGGGAAGCCGGACATGAGCACGGAGTTGCGCGCCAGCTCGCACATGTCGCACGAGCTCAGCTTCCACACCTGCGCCGCGATGCTGTACTCCTGCATCAGCGCACTCACCTCGTGCGGGAAGCCGGACATGAGCACGGAGTTGCGCGCCAGCTCGCACATGTCGCACGAGCTCAGCTTCCACACCTGCGCCGCGATGCTGTACTCCTCCATCAGCGGCTCCTGCGCACAATCACTAATTCGTATTAGCCGTACTCTAAAATCACATATTTAAACGTTACAAAAGAAGTAAAAACTAAAATTAAACTTTTAATATTTAACTCTGAATAAAGAGTAGAAGCTTCAAAAGTAAACATTACAAGAGAAACAAAAAAAAAAACAAGAATATAACGTTTAATATTAAGCTATAAATAAAGAGTAGAACCGACTTTAAAATAAGGCATTTAAAACAAGCAAAAACGACTTTTTAAAACTAAATAGGTATAAACTTTAATAAAGAGTAGGACCGATTTCAAAATTAAAAAATAATTTGCTTACAGATTTGTCAAGCTGGCTTATAAAAGTTATTGTTGAAAGTTGTATCAGGAGCTCCTTAAAGAAAACTTGTTTATAACGAGAAATTACTACCTATGTTATAAGATTAAGAATTAAGAATATGTCATCATGGAGCATTCGCTTGAATTGTTCTCAAGATCGCATCCGGCTCAAAGGACCTCTCGTCTAGCATTTAACCGTGTCTGTATCTGTATCTGTTGCCTACTTTAGCGGAGCTTGATAGACAGGGCTTTCAATGGTAGTCAGGTGTTTCGCACGGGATACGAAGCATTGTACGGGACGGGACGTAGAATGAGAGGAGAGCGTAGTGCAAGCGTTAACTTAAAGTGACCTTGAGATATCAATAACATTTTATTTTTCATAAAATTGATGTGACAAGCAAACTTACAAACTTACAACTACCTGATAGTAGTCGGTGGATAATGTAGCCTATGACCAACTGCAGCCCGTTCATACGTACACGCATTATTACTTGACGGGACATATAGTTAAGAGGGCAGTACCTACCGACGGACTCCTTTAAGAAAGTTTCCAGTAAAATCGGTATCTGGTTCTCTACATTCACTATACGAAACACAGCAGCATTAAGATGCTATTTTACGCTGGTATTCTCTGAAAGCGTAGTTCTGGTCGAGCTACCGATTCGTGCTACATTCCGCGCCTGCATTAAGTGATAACAGATGTTTTAAATCTACAAGTTTTCCTAAATTGTTGGAGTTCCTCCAATGGTTGTAAAACTCCTAAACACATGACCATGTAATAAGTTACGAGAACGCACCTTGGTGAAGTGGAACTGCAGCGGGTCGTCGGTACTGAGCGTGATGCAAAGGCCACGCGCCAGGAACTCGGGCAGCGGGTTGCGGTGATAGTTCAGGAACAGCGAGTTGTTGCTGAGCGGCGACATCGCGATGTAGATCTGCGCCAGGTAGTACAGGTACTGCAGCACCGGCACCTGACAATACCACACGTATTCGTTATGCATTGCCTGAACAAAACATATCTAAAATTATCAAAATAAAAAGATATACTATACAAGACATTGAAACAAAATAAGAAATTTAAAAACTTAGACAATACTTTTCTAGTTTTATTAATAATATTATATATTTAACTTTTCTTTCCGATTGCACTTACTTTTATAGTTAAAAGTGTACGCTAAAACACGCAATAAATCTTTATTGTAATAATAAAGGTTATAAAAGTATATTGAACATTACAAATAACATTGGTCCTTCGAGCTGGATCATAATACAATTATTGAAATGAGTTCGAAAGATATTATGAAAGCAATAAAACTGTCTACTTTAAAATATTAAAAAATGTGTTAAAATGAATAAAGTCTTAATAATCAGAATTCAAATAATATTAACCTTCCTGAGCAGCAACCCATGGGAAATATTCTCAGCTAGCATGAAGCCGCATACAAGATGCTGGACGGGTCCCGCTTCCCCGCAATGTGGCCGAAGCACGAAAGTGTTCAAACCTTGCTCCCTGAAATAATAAAGATGAAGCACATAAATAAGGTTTCGTTCACCTCGTGAATTATGTTTGCAAAGAATCAGTTTTCTTATGTAAGTTTTCGTTTCGTTTCGAAAATTAGATTGTGCCCAGTATTGGGAAGAATATAGTCTATAACTTTAATCTTTATTCGTAAAGATATTATATGTACTACCCGTGCAGTTAAAGAATGGGATTGAAAATGGCGTCGGCTCTAGTGACCTCTCGCTCGCACACTGTCGCTATCTATACTCACACCCACCGGTAAGGAGTGCAAAAAATACGTTGCGATATGCGTTTTTCGTACGTTCTATAACTTAAGTCCAATGTCATTGGAATGTAATGTCGGAAGGTGTTAAATGACAATTGACGTGTCAGTTCAAGACTTTAATTATACTACTTCAACTTATTCTACTTTAACACTAATATATACTGTCGTGGGGGCTACACTACATCTCCCACCGACAAAAAAAATTATAAAAAGAAATTAATACATTTGCTTCGGGAGTCCAGATCTGTCCCATATCAATGTCGAGGTCATAATTATATTCGTCACAGTATCTTAAAGCCTTCGAAGCACTTTGGGACAAAAGGAGCAATATGTCGCTCAACAATTACGTGGAATGTCCCAAGACATATGTCGCGGAACATTTTGCAGGCCACAATACTCAGTACTTATAGAAATGTCGCCCGAGGAGTTTGTGGTGATTAGTGCTGCGTAGTACTATGTACTTATTATATAAGCAAAAGACAATGTGAGAAGAAAGAAGAATTTATATTTCAAGTGATCTCCGAAAGTCCTAAGGATCTTTTGTGAATTTTACTCGAATTTCAACATCTGATTTTGAAACTTTATTAAAAATGATTGGACCTTCCATAGCCAAACAGGATACGCTGTTGACGATCATATCAGATTTGCCATCGCATCAAGATACTTTTCGAGTGTCGAAACAACTGATCGGCATGACGGAGGTATGCTAATTTGGAGATTTAATTAAAATAAATATTGATAAGATAAAAATAAATGGTATATGGTTTTTAATAATTATCTTACGTCTAAATAACGCCACATTAATAGATCCCACCCAGGCGAAGCCAGAGCGGGTCGCTAGTTATAAATGTTATTTTAAAATTAATATATCTACTTGCGTATACAATTCTTTTCATATATTTTCTCATTCATAGAAAGTATCCAATTAACCGAATAATATAACGTTATAATGATATAAAGTTATTAGCCGGTTTTCGTTATTGGTATTTGGTACTTTTTATTTTGGTACACCGTCTCGATGAGCCTCCATTTCTAATTCCGTTCTATATCCGTACAGGCTGTAAAGACATTACCACACTTGCATCTAATCGCATAATATATTATGTGTACAATATGCATGTATGTATTGTGTATTAAGAATCATAAATAGATAACAAAAACATGTCGTATAAAACATAAAATGTTTATGTATGCTGTGATGTAGCGATAATCTTCTATCGCTACATCTAATCTCCGGGGAATCTCTTATTGCCCTCTGATTTTCTGTCCTATAATCATAGCCGATGGCTGCAGGTGGCTCAGGGCCATGTAATGTGGCATTCCTTGAGGCAGACCTACGTCCAGCAATGTATTTCTGAAGGACTGTGTATAAAGATGATAAAGTTAGCTCTATAAAATACTGAAAAGAAACAAAGTAGCAACGTTGCTCACTTGCGGAAGTGGTTGAGCACGGTCATGTTGGCGTACATGTAGTAGAGGTAGTACGCATAGGGCGGGTTCTCCTCGTCGTCCCACTCCTCGGGGATCTTCACGTCGGGGTCCAGGATTGGGTTCTCCGGCTTCGACTCGTCGTCCACGCTATCGAAGCCAACCACGTGCTGCAACCAACCGACATCAGCATTGGAACACGTTTGTGGTATTAATCACACTTTAGCGTTAGTTGAGTTTAATCTAGGGCTGCTTGTTGAATAAATTAGTATGTTTTTCTAGTTAAAGTTATAATATTCAGTATTTTAAGTGCACTCACTGAGCAATACTGTTGTTTGTTTTTGTATGTTTTTTGTCTATGTGGAGTTCTTTCTATGATTAGAACATCTAAGTTTGTATGTATATTCGAAATTCACGTGGCGAACTCTAATTGAAAATCGAACCCAATCTATTAAATTAAGTAGAAACGATGAGATAATGTGCAGAGTGAATTTGAAACTTCAGATTGCGTCTATGACGGAAATTATTTCGATCTTACTGCTTTCTTGTCAAGCAAAAAACATAAAAAGACGTAAATCAAAATATCAGAATATTTTTACGACATACATTTTTTTTCATTGTCTTTAACACTGCGGGAAGCATGCTAATTTATACGTTAGCAAGAAAGAAAGAAAATAGTTTGTTTTAATGTATAAATTCATGTATTCTAAAAATGTTCTTAAAAGAAACAACTAATTACAACTAAGTACTATTAACTAGAATAAGTAAGAATAATAAGCAAATAAACACCATCAGCTCGAGTTCGTGGAATGATTTTCAAAATGACCATATTGTATACAGAGAAAATATGTTGAATTAAAATTAAAATAATATTAGATTTTAATTTGTCTATGACTAAGTTTTATGACTAAGTATTTTACGTGGTAGAGTCATGCTGCAGTTATATTAGTGATAAAGTTGTAGCACGAGTGTGTCGGCTCGACCGGAGAAGGACCACGCTCTCACAGAATACCAGCGAAAACAGCAGCTGAACGTCGCTGTTCGTATGGTCAGTGTAGAGAACCGGAGACCAATTTTATTGGAAAGGAGCCATTCCATCTTAGTCCTCACGAGTGACAAAGCATCTGCATTTTGATTCGTAATCGATGATAGAAGTAGATATCTATGGGCCACTTACCATCAGGTGGACTGTGTGCTCGTTTGTCACCCTTATCCTATAAAAAAAAGTGTGTAAAAATTTCACAAAACTCACGGTCAAGAATTTGTGCAGGTCAGTGTTGCTGTTGGGGTCGTTGGTGACCTCGAATAGCGGCTGGAAGATGTTGCTGAGGAACTCCTGGAAGTTGTTCATGATCTTGTTCGACTTGAAGATGTCGCTGAAAGAATTTTAATGCGTGATACTGTTACTTGCAATGCGATATTTATTGAGTATTGTTATTTATTTATTACTAGCTGTTCCCCGCGACTTCGCCCGCGCGTAATTTATTACGATTGGATTTCATGGGTTTAAAGTTTTTGCGCGGAATCCTAATTCTTTTTCTAAAATTAAAGTAGCCAAGTTACTTCTTAGAACATCAGCTATCTGCCAGTGAAAATCCAGTCAAAATCGGTCCAGCCGTTTCCGAGATTAGCAGGAACAAACAGACAGACAGACAGAAAGACAGACAGACAAAAATTTTAAAAATCGTGTTTTTGTTATAAGTACCGTGTATACTTTCATATACATATAGTAAAAAGCTGTTATTTCGACATTACAAACATACACTTCAATTTTATTTATTGTATTATTTGTATAGATATAGATAATCACGTACAGTAAAATATTATGTTACAAACACCCTGGCAGCAAATACTCAACGCAAATGAATATACACACTGTGAAATATAGGATCGAAAGTTAGCGAGAGGTTGCGTCACTTGTAGTGTTATGCTACTTACATATCATTTTACACTATTTTAAATTCATTTTTCCATTCTGTTTTGATTTTCTGCATTCACCTCAAAACTGGATATTTTGTATCACCTTTATTTCCATAGGATCCTGTAACGTTTTTAAACCATAAGAACACAATAACAAATCATTTTCACTTCGTATCTTCACGCTATCAGCATTTTTTAATTTGGTGTCGATGGAGTCTACCTTTTTCGATCTTTTATTTAGTTCTCCGTAACTCTGCAACTTCGGGCTTTGTGCGCGCCGGTGCGCTACCTTTTTTCCTATAGCAATAATATCTCATTTTTCACTTAAATCTTGCCGTTTCTCTATTACGAGCCTAAAACCAAAATTTGACATGTTTTGACATCGTTGTTTATCTGGTTGTCATATGTTGCTTTCAATTTAAATAATTTTCCGTTCTCTCTAAAAAGGTATAAAAGCCGAACAATCAGTCAAGAAACTCAGTCTCGCTTCGGTTCTCAAACTCGAAGAATCTCCTAAAGGCCTTATCCCGGGGCCGCACTGCCCCGGGATCCTGCAAGCCTCTGTCCTGCCTGAAGTCTCCAGGACCCTGCAAGCCTCTGCCCTGCCTGAAGTCGCCGAATCCTGCTAACCTCTGTCCTGCCTGAAGTCGCCCGATCCTGCTAGCCTCTGTCCTGCCTGAAGTCGCCGGATCCTGCAAGCCTCTGTCCTACCTGAATTTGCCGGATCCTACAAGCCTCTGTCCTGCCTGAAGTCGCCAGATCCTGCAGGCCTCTGTCCTGCCTGAAGTCGCTGGGATCCTGCAAGCCTCTGTCTTGCCTGAAGACGCCGGATCTTGCAAACCTCTGCATTCACCTGAAGTCGTCGCCTAGACACACCCACGCCTTCACCTACGCTGTGCGTGCTCGTTCCAGGCGCTGTGGGCCTACCACCAGCACAGCCTGCGTATAATCTGTGGGCAGCGAAGAACACCACCTAAAGCGGCGTACCTCTTGGATCTTCGGCCTCAGCTTCAATACCCATCATTTTTATTATCTTTTTTTAGAAATAATTGTAAATCACATCACCCATCTTCATCCTCATACATCATTTTTTTTTATATATAAATCTGTAAATATCTTTTTTTTATATTTTAAATAGATTATTTGTTTTGCCCTATTTTTGTTGTACTTGGTAGGTTAGGTTCTTTTTTTTTGTTTTTAATTGTCGCTTCACGACACACTTTAGCGGAGCGTCATATCGATGGTGGCGGGGTAGAATTGAGGGTAGATTGGGGGACCCCCCCCCCCCTAGTATGTACCGTATAAAGTTCGGTAAAAGTGCCGAGCGCGAGATATTCCGTCTGTATCTATGAGTGCTAAGACAGTGTTTCTGTCCGTTGTGGTGGTTCTTCTGATGCAGGCAAGGAGGATGGTATTGCTGAGAGGCTGCCCTGTGTTACATTGAGACGTGTGGTGTTGCTGTTGTTTTGCATACTTTGGTGTTGTCATGTAATCGTGTCATTCACCTTACACCTATGTGTGATTGTGACGCGGACATGTTACGGTATGGTCGAACTGTAATTGCCTATACTAAATGCATAGCGCAGTTATGCTGTTTTATTGCTGATAATGATTAATTACGTAAGCAAGTTGAACATCCATCCGCTCTCACACTTTTATTACTTTTAACAATTAAACTTATCCTGATGTATTTTCGAGATCAAAAAAGTAGGATATCCTGTTGTAATTCCGACATATGTATAGTCCCGTCAAAATCGGAGATTTCGAAGATTAGCCGGAACAAACAGACAGACAAATATCTTAAAAATAGTTTTTTGTTATAAGTACTGTATATAATTTAATATGCATTTAGTAAAAAACTGTTATTTTGAAATTACAAACAGACACTTCAATTTGATTTATATGTATAGATATAGATAAGTAGTTACTAACTATAGACGAGGTATCTGTATGAGCCAGCGCACGTTGTTGGAATGTACGTCGTACTGGATGGCCCAGCGCGCCAGCTTGGCCCACTCGGTGGGGCTCTTGCCGTAGATCGAGAGCCGCAGCTCCGCGTTCTGGTACTTGCTCTCTTCCAAGTCAAAAGCCACTTCCTGCCACCGGAAATAAGAAATTCTGTTTAATTTATTATTTTTGGAAGGAAGTTCTTTATCGGACGGTACGGATTTGGCGGATGGAACGCCTAGCTTCAAAAAATATTTGATTTTTCCGTCCGGACGCATTCTGACGTACTGTAAATGGCCTTGGCGGCTATAAGGAAGCGAGATGGAATAATATCCATCTCCCTCACACATTTTCCTATCTTACAATGAAAGAAATATTATTTTATTTTAAATGACGCTTCATTTTAATAGACGCTAGTAATTCATTTATTTGTATTTGTTAATCAATAATATAATAATTTAACGGTGGTAGAGCCTTGCAGCAGCTTTTGCTGTTGCACGTATGGGCCGGCTCGAGCCGGGTTAGTACCACGACCTCACAGAATACCGGCGTGAAGTGGAAGCTCTGCTTCCGCGTTTCGTCTGGTGAGTGCAGGTGACCGGAGGCCCAATTCCCCCCCCCCCCCCCCCCCCATCAACATGGTAGCGGAATTACGTCATAAACTACCCCAGGAGGGTACCAGTACCCCTGGAGAATCCCTCGCTGAGCATCCACGACCATGCTATTCCACTCCTGAGCGTGGGTGCTCAGGCTGCCCCGCGTATTCTGGGGGGGGGGGGGGGGGGCAAAATTCCGCTCAACACAAAAACTGCTCGGGGCAAACTGAGCAACAAGACCAAGGCGACCCCTGCCACGCTATCCGTGAATTTCTGCAACATCAGGGGACTTCACTCGAACCTAAACGCCGTCCACTACCATCTTGAGACGGCGAAGCCGGCCTTGCTCTTTCTGACCGAGACGCAGGTGTCCTCTCCGGCTGATACTTCGTATCTCTCCTACCCGGGGTACAAATTGGAGCACTCCTTTGTGCCTCGGGCTGGAGTTTGCGTGTATGTCAGAGAGGACATCTGTTCTCGACGCCTCGGCAGTCTTGAAGGTTCGGACCTGTCCATCCTTTGGCTACGCATGGACAGCGACGACCATCCGCGCGTCTACGCGTGCCTCTATAGGTCCCATAGCGGTAATGCCGAAACAGACCGACTCATCGACCACGTCCAAATGGCTGCAGATTCCTTGCTACAACAGGTCCCATCCGCAGAGATCGTGATCCTTGGCGATTTTAACGCCCACCACGCCGAATGGCTCGGTTCACGTTTAACCGATCATGCGGGGAGATCTGTTTATGACTTTGCCTTGGCATATGGTCTGACACAACTGGTTACATCGCCTACGCGGATTCCAGATGTTGAGGATCATACACCTTCCCTGTTGGACCTTCTGCTGACCTCTCATCCGGACGGATATCAGGTTTCCGTCGATGCCCCTCTTGGCTCTTCGGACCATTGTCTGATCCGGAGTGTGGCGCCACTCAAGCTCCCCTCGCGGTTGCGTTCTGCAGGTTGCCGCCGTGTTTGGCATTACAGGTCGGCGGATTGGGACGGAATGCGGTCTTTCTTTGCTTCCTACCCATGGGGGCGGGTTTGCTTCTCGCCGGATGATCCCAGCGCTGTTGCTGACTCTGTCACTGATGTGGTGCTACAGGGAATGGAACTATTTATTCCATCATCTGTGGTACCCATCGGAGGCAGATCTCAGCCTTGGTTTGGTCGCTCCTGTAAGACTGCATTACGCAGTAAGCTGGAGTGTTATCAAGCCTGGGCTGCGGCTTCGGTGACTCGGGATGTAAACACCAGCACACTCAAAAAGAAGTATAACTTCGCCTCCAGGTCCTTCAAAAGAGTTATTGCCAAGGCAAAGTCAGAGCACATAGGCAGAATTGGCGAGAAACTAGTTCGCCTTCCTTCGGGAACCCGTGCATTCTGGTCTCTCGCCAAGGCTGTCCAAGGGAATTTCTGTAAGCTATCACTACCTTCTCTGCACAGGGAGGACGACTCACTGGCCCACGACGCAAAAGAGAAGGCCGACCTTTTAGGCTCCCTTTTTGCGCCCAACTCGACTGTTGATGACGGGGGGAACACACCGCCGACCATCCCGCGGTGTGAGTGCTCCATGCCGGATGTGCGGTTCTCACAGCGCTCGGTTCGCAGAGCACTCCTCTCCCTTGACATCCACAAGTCGAGTGGGCCTGACGGAATCCCCCCAATTGTGCTGAGGACGTGTGCTCCGGAGTTGGCACCGGTTCTAACGCGTCTTTTCCGGTACTCCTACTCCCTAGGCGTAGTCCCGAAATCATGGAAGACAGCTTTTGTCCACCCGATCCCTAAAAAAGGCGACCGCTCAGACCCGTCCAACTACAGGCCTATCGCCATCACCCCCTTGTTCTCCAAAATAATGGAATCCATTATTAACTGCCAGCTCATCCGGTACCTTGAGGATCACCAGCTGATTAGTGACCGCCAATACGGTTTTCGTCGGGGTCGATCACCTGGTGATCTTCTGGTCTACCTGACCCATAGATGGGCGGAGGCAGTAGAGTCCAAGGGGGAGGCGTTGGCCGTTAGTCTGGACATTGCGAAGGCCTTCGATCGGGTTTGGCACAAAGCGCTTCTTTCGAAGCTCCCTTCCTATGGGCTTCTCGAGAAATTATGCAATTGGATCACGAGCTTTCTTGCAGATCGGAGCATCAAGGTCGTTGTAGACGGTGCATGCTCCGACTACAAGCCTATTAACGCTGGTGTTCCACAAGGCTGCGTGCTATCACCAACGCTGTTTCTTCTGCATATCAATGATATGTTGCAAGCCGGTAGCATTCATTGCTATGCGGATGACAGCACTGGTGATGCTCTATACACCGGCCGTGCCAATATTTCTCGGGAAAACGTCACTGAGTACCGGAATAAACTTGTGTCTGAAGTCGAGTCTTTGCTGGACAAAGTCTCGGATTGGGGGCGACTAAATCTAGTCCAGTTTAATCCTCAGAAGACACAAGTTTGCGCGTTTACCGCTAAAAAGAACCCCTTTGTCGTATCTCCTCAGTTTCAAGGTACTCCCCTTGTTGCCTCAGCCAGTATCGGAATCCTCGGCGTCGACATATCGAGTAGCGTGCAGTTTCGTGGTCACTTGGAAGAGAAGGCCAAATTGGCCTCTAAAAAGCTTGGCGTGCTCAGTAGAGCGGGACAGTATTTCATGCCGGCTCAACGCCTGCAACTTTACAAGGCGCAGGTTCGGCCTCACATGGAATACTGTTCCCATCTCTGGGCTGGGGCTCCCCAGTGCCAGCTTCTTCCACTTGACCGCATCCAGCGCAGAGCGGCTCGAATCGTCGACGACCGAGTTCTTTCCAATCGGCTCGACTCATTGGCACTGCGAAGAGATGTTGCATCTCTTAGCATTTTCTTTCGCATTTACCATGGGGAGTGCTCTGAGGAATTGTTCGGATTAATCCCAGCCGCCAAATTTCACGAACGCACATCGCGGCAGAACTCCCGATACCATCCACACCATCTGGATGATTGGCGGTCCACCACTGTGCGATTTAGAAGATGTTTTCTTCCTCGCACAACTTCCTTGTGGAATAGTTTACCACCAGCGATTTTCCGGACCGATACGACTTAGGGACCTTCAAGAAAAGAGCCTACTCCTTTTTAAAAGGCCGGCAACGCATCTGCAATTCCCCTGGTGTTGCGGTTGTTCATGGGCGGCGGTAGTCACTTACCATCAGGTGAGCCGCATGCTCGTTTGCCCCCTCTCCTATAAAAAAAATAAAAAAAATAATAGTTCCACGACACTCACGCATGTTATTTTTTTATAGAATAGAGTGACAAACGAGCACAATCCACCTGATTGAAAGTAAATGCGGCCCATAGTAAACCACAGAAATCTTCGATTAAAATCAAACTGCATCACACATATCACCTCCGAGGACTAAGATGGAATGCCTCGTTTCCAGTAAAAAGGGTCTCTCATTCTCTACACTTACCATACGAAACTTCCACGGTCCTTCCACGGTCGAGCCGACCCATTCGTGCTACAAGTATACTATTAATATAACTGTAGCATGGCTCTACCACGTATATAAATAAATAATAATTATAATTGTTTATGATATTATTATACGTTATGACTTGCGGTGCGAAAAAATCTATCACCTTATTTTGTTACGTGGGTGTAGTGAATGACCTCATTGTCTCTGATAGATAACTCTTCTTCATCTTTAGTGCGCAAACTCTATAATTGGAGATGGACCTCTTCCGTTGGAAGGATTTTCCTTTGCCACAGAATTCCATACGTCTCACACCTTTGACATCGTTTCAACCCCCGACATCGATCTAGAAATTTTACGTCTAGAGTAAATAAGATGGTTGCACCACATCAATAAGAAGCCATGAGACCTTTTTGGAGTTTCCCATCGTCTGTCCCTTACTAAGCCCACGGGTCGAAAAGAGATGATAGATTTTCCTACGTTTCTTACGATTTCCCATCAGTTTGTTAAGCGTAGTGATTGCGGCAAATCCTTCATAAAATGGCCTTCGGCAACTGGCCGGCAGTGGGCTGCAACCCACTGTAACCCTCTAGGGCCAAACTTTTCAAACCAATAGCGTACAAAATAAAAAAGTGGTCAGGTTACTTAGTAACTATTAATTATTGTGTGCTTCAGGTGCTTGAGCGTGCATGTATGCTGTGCGTTTAGTTTTGTGTATAAATTGTAAAGAAATATGTAAATAATACCTTAATGATTCTTGCGAAGTATTTCCCGTTCATGTAGTTGTCGGTCTTGAGGAACACCTCCCTCAGTCTGCTCTCACCGATGGGATTGTATTTTGCGTTGAATTTGTCGAAACGGTGGAACGTGTTTCTGTCCTAAAGTGGAAATAATATTATAAAAAGGTATAAAAAACATAGTTTAATATTAGAGGGGGAAAGCACGCGCCTGGTAGTAAGTGCTCATGAACAACTGCAACACCAGGGGAATTGCAGGGGCGTTGTCGGACTCTTAAAAACGAGTCGGCGGCTTTAGAAAATTTTAAATTCTCTCAATCTCTTTAAAGAGTTACTCGTTCTGCTTTATAAATAGATACTCGTAACATCAAATTAAAGAAATATTCTAGAATTTAAATTAAAAACATATTACATTAGTTAACATTGTATTTTTGTGATTTTTAAAGTTTTTTTTTTAATAGGATTAGGTGACAAACGAGCACACAGTCCACCTGATGGTAAGTGGTTGCTGTGACCCATAGACATCTACATTTATTCTTAATAAATAACCAAAATGCAGATGCGTCGTCACAGGTAAGGACTAAGATGGAATGCCTCTTTTCAAGTAAAATGGGTCTCCGGTTCTTTACACTCGCCATACGAAACACAGCAGTGTGAAGCTGCTATTTTACGATGGTATTCTGTGAGAGCGTGGTCCTTCCCCGGTCGAGCAGACCCATTCGTGCTACAACTATACTACTAATAGAGCTGCAGCATGGCTCTACCACATACATAAACTTCTTAAGGACTGTTGTGATTTGAAACTCGATGAAACGAAAAATAGACCCTAAAGAGAGACAAACACGTACATCCTATAGGATTTAGCCTGCGAGCGAATGAGATAGAATACAGTATACAAGGTTTCTATTATCTCGGCCTTCTTGTTGTGTGGGTTTTTTGAAGATGGTTTATATAACTTTAAACTGTAAAAAAACGAATAAAATTAACCATATTGAATAAAACTATTATATCCCATCCATCCATAACAATCCACAATTTCATAACTTAGTGATTTATATTGTTAAGTAGACACAATATTTAAATAAAGTTAAATGTAATTTTTGTTAGATAAAATGACGTTGCCTATAGAATGGAGTAGATGGCGCTATTACAAAGCAATTCTACTCGCAATTTTCTGAAGGTTTCACATTACCGCGTGTAAACTGCAAACATGTTTTTTTTTATATAAAGAAAGGAATGAGTGAAGAGATGACGAGTAATTAAGGAGAATGGAAAAGGCAGCACTGCTATGCTGATTTCAAATAACTTGGGATAAAGGGAAGTAAAAGATACGGAAACGTGTAACTCACCGCGTGTACGTCGAGCATGTCCACAGTGAGGTCGTACGTGCTCAGGTTCATGCTCTGGAACACCGCCTTCAGCGTCATTGGAGTTCCCTTGTGCAGGGTCACCACCTGGGAATCAAATTGCATACACGTGCTTCAACGTCCTTTTCAACATCTTCATTAAAACCTTCATAAAGTCCACTGCTGAACATAGACCTCGCAAAGAATGCCACAAATCACGGTCCTGGGCCACCCGTATCCATTGACTTCCTGCATGTTTTACCAGGCCGACACTTCATCTAGTGGGGGGATGCCCTACACTTCGGTTACCGTTACGAGGCTGCCACTCAAGAACCTTTTTCCTCATCGGTTGTGGGATCTTCGAGCTATAAGGCCGGTCCATTGCCACCTGAGCTTACTGATCTTTCTTTTTTGCCTTTATAACGTATTTTAAAAACGCTTTGTTAAGTGTTGTTAATATTTTTGAGTGTGTAAAATTCCACGCATTTTGTTTTGGGGTTTGCTTAGTCGTTCATAATGCTTACAGCAAAGGAGTGGTCTATATTTCCGTCCGAATACAATATGGGTGTCTTAAATGCAAGAGATCCTTACAGCTCATGATCAGTGCGTGTTTATTTCGTTTTTCTTAAAACTCTTTTTTTGTTTTTTATTTCTAATGGTTAAAAATAGAAGTAAAACTTGATAGTTTAAAGTATTAAAACTATGGGATGAGGAAGTCATTATGCTCCTAATTTACCGGGTAAAAACCACCCACATATAAACTTTTATACATCGAAATAGGTCGAAATGGGTGGACTAAACGCGCTGCAAGAAGATCCATCATTCCATTTTATCCCGTGGGTGTCTTATTATTGGAACGAAGTTCCTTATCGGACGGTACGGGTTTGGTGGATGGGAGCTAGGCGACAAAAAGTGTAAGATTTTTTCGTCACTACGAGGTGAGATGGAATAACATCCATCTCCCTCCCACTTTTTCTTATCTTGCCACGAAAGAAATATTATTTTATTTCAAATGACTTGATGAAATTCAATAATATAATACCTACGTTTATCAATAATAATACGTAAGGAACTTCGTTCCAACAGAGTGTTCCACGACACTCACGCATTTTTAGTTTTTTATATTAAATTATGGTTTCTTTCAAAGGTGTGCGATACCTGGTAGTGCAATATTCATTCTGCCTACCAAGCGTGACTACAAAAGTAAATCTTAAATTAGAGAGGGAAGTCCATACCCAGCAGTAGACTGTTATAGACTGAAAAAAGATACTGTACTGCAGTACTGGAGTACTGCATTCCTAATACAGCTGTAGCGCTACAATGTAAAAAACTATGATTTATTTTCAGGGTTATTTTTCAAAGATTAGCCAAATTTTAAACTGAAGTTCAAATATATAAATAATGATATAACATTATTGCAGTTTTTGAAAATACGAGTAAATAAGGCATCTACTTTTATTTTGATATTATCCCCAATTGAATGTGATTTATAGGCAACAACTACGCGCACGCGCGCCCCTCTGTGTGCGATTATATTCGCAACGTCTTTGCCGACCGATCAACCATTTCGAATGTATGCGTGCGTAGTAAAATAGTAGGCGTTAGATATTTATGAATGACAATCAGTTAAAATAATGCATTACCACGCATTTTAAATTTAAAAGATATAAAGAACAGAATGTTTGAGATTTTTAAATTAATATTTCTTCACCATTTGCTTATAATTACTTAATCTGGACATTCTCTGCTGAATAATGGCTGGTTATAGCAAGATAACCCTACATGTGACATAACTTACCTCATCCGCGTGGTTTTTCAGCGTCTTTTTAATGAAGCGCAGCAGGTGTTTTTGGTTCATACACGAAGCGGCGTGGATGTGCGTGTCCACTTTCCTAAAAGAATTAAGAGCGAGGTGAAGAAAGGTTACCCATACACAAACGTAACCACACTGTTTCGAGAAAGCAAGTAAATCTGTGAGTTTTGTGCAAGAGAGGCGATTAGGAAGGGTTCAAAGCCGTGGCGAAAACTAACGCAAAGAATAGGGTTACCAGGGTCTGAAATGGGAGATCCAGTTGCAGTTGAATTTTGGTTGCAGATAAAGTGGATTATCTAAAGTTAATTTTTTGGAATAAAGCCCGGACTTCAGCCATCATATGGAGAAAACCCGATCTGTATTGAAATCCGGGCGGAGGCCGGTCTTAACTCTCAAAATTTGGTCAAGAACGGAATGTAGTGGAATGTAGAATGGTAACCCTAGCAGAGAGTAGCTTGAAGGAACAGAAAGCGTTATTTCAATACTGCGATGGACCTTGTGAAGACTGCAAAAGAGGTTTTGCTTTGGTTCATTCATACCGAAGATTAGCCCGCACAGACAGACAGACAAAATGTTAAAAATGGTTATTTATGTCTTAATAGCATTCCAATATGTTTGAGCCGTTTGAGCAGTTATTTATTTTACAGACAGATATTTTATTTCAGACAATTTTATTTCTGTTTATAAGTAATATCGGAGTAGTTTTAAAACTTTGACAGCATTACTTGGGCTTCGGTACGTTCAGGCTATTGTGGCGTAATGATATAGCCGCCACAGTTTGCATAGTGTCTTGGGGATACGGAGTTATGGTTTTATAAGTACATTTTCTACATAATTTAAAAAAAAACGTACAAAAAATCCTCCGCAGCGCACTAGTCTTGTATGTTCCTACTGGTCCCTTGTTTCATTTTTCAATGTTTAACATTAAAAACCTTGCAAAATATTTCAAGTTGATGACTCCATGGCTTAGCATTGAGTTTCGGCGCTGAGAGCCACGGAATAAATATTTGTATAGTCTACAATGACTGTTTCCGGTCTGGATGTTTGTCCTTGTGCAATTTATGTAAACAAGAAACGCACGCAGAAGAAAATCCTAGTATGAGGGTAAAGATTAAAAAAAAACAGTTACGTTCTGGAAAATTTGTGTAGGTATACCTGATGTTATAGAAGTCTCTGTGGGGTACTGCCTTCTGGGAGGCCAGCTCGCGCAGTTCATTGAGCAGCACGTGAAGCTGGAACTTGGACGACAGGTAGCTCAGCCGCCGGTAGCAGAACGACTTGCTGAAAAACGAAAAGTTTTCATTGAAATTATCAAATTAATAAAGAAATTTTATTTTATGAAGTAGAGACATGCTGCGATGTTATGGTTGTATCACGAATGGGTCGGCTCGAACAGGGAAGGACCACGCTCTCACGGAATACCACCGCAAAATAGCAGCTTAATACTGCTGTGTTTCGTATGGCGAGTGTAGAGATGCAGAGACCTTTTTTACTGGAAACGAGGAATTCCATCTTAGTCCAGGGTGACAATGCATCTACATTTTGATTCTTAATCGATGATAGATGTAGATGTCTATGAGCTACAGCACCCGCTCACCATCAGGTGAACTGTGTGGTAATATAAAAAAAAATAAACAATTATAAAGGGAAATACAAAAGGCAGTTTCATTGCTACACTGCAATTTCTTCCAGACAACCCAGAAAAATAATTAAATAAAAATAAGAGAAAGAATAACGGGTATGGTGCACTAAAATAGAAAGAATACAAACTTATGCACTTACAAGTGGTAAAATTAAAAATTTTGTACAACCGACTTCAATATAATTATAATTTATTGTAGATTTATTTAAAACCGCTCGACGTATTTCGATAAAATTTAAATGGGACCACCCTGGGAAGTATACACTTTGAAACAAAAAAAAAAAAGAATTTTCTAAATCGATTCAGTCGTCTTCGAGTAATCGGTGAACATATATAAAAAGAAAGATCTGACGAATTGTAAACCACTCCTTCTTTTAGAAGTCGGTTGAAAATACAAAATACACCTTTCTTCTATTAAAAAAAAAGCAATGGCTGTTATTATACCAACAATTTAGAGTTAAAGACTTTCATATGACTTACAGCGGTCCATCGGCGATCATGTTGCACATTGTGTTCATGTCCTGTATGTACTGCGTGAGGGTTATGTACTCATAAGGCACCCGGCTCTCCACGCCGCCCTCCTGTCGGTACAAATTGAATACGCCGCGATCCGATTTGATGGTGTAGCCTTTCGCATCTGGATTCGGACACTCCCATGGGTCCTTATTTTCTTTGAAAGGTGGGTGGACAATGTGGTCTAGAATTAAGAAAATACCTAAATGGTGACTAAGAATATGACGAAAATGAATTATACATACGTTATTTATTTATTTATATAATTTGCATGCCACAAGAAATACATCATACATGAAGTGACGCCCCTTAGAACATACTTTCCTATATCCTTTGTAACCAACTATTTTATAGGAGGGTAGGACGCAGACGGCATGCCACCTAGCAGTATTGGACTCGGTGGAGAGACGTGCTAAGAGGCTTATTGGCGACGTCGGTTTGGTCAGTCTAAGGCACAGGCACCGACTAGCCAACTCGGTATTCTATAGGATATATTTCGGAGAGTCTCCAGGAATTACACTATTTAACTTCTCCTTCCCGTTTCCATCATGAAATTATCAGGCGTTTCATTTCTTTGTAGTACACATTCCTTCTGCATACTATACGTGCATTCAAACTAAACGGTTTGTTATACCCTACAAAAACAACAACCTACCCTTAAATTTCTTTTATAGGATAAGGATGAGAAGCGAGCACACAGTCCACCTGATGGTAAGTAGTTGCTGTGGCCATAGACATATACATCTATGCTCGTATGCGATCAAAATACAGATGCGTTGTCAGTTGTCACCAGTGAGAAATAAGATGGAACGCCTCTTTTCCAGTAAAAAGGGTCTCCGGTTCTCTACACTCTCCATACAAAACACAACAGCATTAAGCTGCTATTTCACGCTGGTATTCTGTGAGAGCGTGGTCCTTCTCCGGTCGAGCCGACCCATTCGTGCTACAACTACACAATTAATATAGCTGCAGCATGGCTCTACCACGTTTAAAATTACATTACAATTATAATGTTAGTGTCTTCACGGCAAGAGTGAATAGGCTTTTGTTAAGATTAAGTCTTATTTTCGCTTTATTATCGTCTCCGACATCACGTCTTACCATCAGATGGGATAGTAGTAAAACTACTTTTTCTTTTTTATCATCTCCTTTCTCTCTCTCTCGTTGCAGGGATTATTTGTCTTATTCGCCACGCTAGGTTGCCGGTTTGACAATCACAGCATCAACCGTGTTGCATCTTTAACGCTATAGCCAAGCGCTGTGTTATACTTACAGCCTATTAAAGTCCACTGTTGAACACAGGCCTCCACCATAGACTGCCTCATAGGGGAGATATTTGCCATAGTTGTAATGTTACTGTTGATTTGAAAACACCTCTCAGTGGATCATGTGCTCCTGGTAGATTATCTTCTATACATCCATCCTGTGGCCTATTAAAGTGCACTGTTGAACATAGGTCTCCATCATAGATTGCCTCTGGCAGGATATTTGCCATAATTGCCACGCTTGGCAACCGTAGTTCTTTTTTTTATGAGGAAGACGCTGCTGCCCATCTCCTGATTTATATCCTTCTGTCTCCTCTTATGACACCCACGGGAAGATATGGGGTAGTGGATATTCTTACACTGCCACTACACGATAAATGTGACTGTGTTATTATAATTAAAGAAAAGAGCACATCCTTAAAAACTCTATAAGTAAAGGAACTTGGTCTGACCTTGATCAAATTCATATGGGACCACATGTGAAGTACCAGCTTTCAAATAAAAAAATCATCGAAATTGGTTCACCCAGTAAAAGAATATGAGGTAATACACATAAAAAAACATACAGGCGAATTGAGTACCGTCTCCTTTTTGAAGTCGGCAGAAAATGAGAACGTCATCAATGTAGTCGAAGTCAATTAAATACGCATTATTAAAGGTAACTCAAAAACTTCTGGTCAGATATCAATTAAATTTATATGGGACCACATGAGAAGCACTAGCTTTCAAATAAAAAAAAAGAATCATCAAAATCGGTTCACCTAGAAAAAAGTTCTGAGGTATAATATACATAAAAAAATTCGGCTGAATTGAGAACCTCCACCTTTTTTTAGTCGGTTAAATATAGTCAAATCTAAAAATATAAAAAAATCTCACCAGCGATGTGGCTCTTAGGCACTTTCACGGTGGGTGTGTGGTTTTGCGGCGCGTCCGCGTCCATGTTCCTCACGAAGCGCGCGGTGATGGTAGCGTAGCTCTGCTGCGACATCTCCATGTAACGCTTGCGGATCTCCAGCGCCTGCACCAGGTACGACGACGCCTGCTGGAGATCCTCAAGAGGCACCTGCAAAAGACACGCTCGACGTAACTACGAGGGCAACAAGGGATACATATCAAATAATAATGCACTATTTTACTACGTAGTAAAGACACGGTGCAGGAGTACTTAACCTTTTTTAAAGGTGACAATAGACCACACAGTCCACTCGATAGTAAGTGAACGCTGTGGCCTATAGTGGCGTACATTATTTATAAATCATTCATTCAATCATAGCGGAGATCATTCGGTAATTCTACGAGTCTCACTGTGGTTACTATGCCCGTTGAGGCATTCCACTAGTGTAGACAAGGAAGACCCTGTTGCTGAGAGGCTGCCCTGTGATACATTGAGATGGGTGGTGTTGCTGTTGGTTTGCATATTTTGGTGTTATCATCTAACTGAGTCATTAATGTTACACTGATGTGTGATTGTGACGTAAACATGTTACGGTAGGTAGAACTGTATTGTTCTCTACTAAATTAATGGTGCATTGCACTGATTCGTTGCTGATAATGACGCAACCACGTAAGTAAGAGAGCAAGTTGCAGAATAGTTTCTAATGGTAAGGAGTGCTTGTTACCGAGTAGCGTTCATTTATTTAAATAGTTTGAGGATAATTTCTAACAGCAGAAGTAGAATTAAAGCTTTTTCTTGTAGCTCTACATTTCAATTTCTAACACTTGATTAAATATCAAAACACTTATGCGTACTAATACTCGCCCCTGAATATTTCTATACGTGGTAGAGCCATGCTGCAGCTGTATAATTGTATAGTTGTAGCAAGAATGGGTTGACTCGGCCGCGGAAGGACCACGCTCTCACAGAATACCAGTGTAAAATAGCAGCTTAATGCTGCTGTGTTTCGTACTCATATGGTGAGTGTAGTTTTTACTGGAAAAGAGGCATTCCATCTTAGTCCTCACGGGTGACAACGCATCTGCATTTTGATTCACAAACGAGGATAAATGTAGATGTCTATGAGCCACAGGAACCACTTACCATCAGGTGGAAAGTGTGCTCGTTTGTTAACCTATCCTATTTACTCTCGATACCATCCACACCATCTGGATGATTGGCGGTCCACCACCACCACTGTGAGATTTAGAAGATGTTTTCTTCCTCACACAACTTTCTTGGGGAATCGATTACCACCAGCGATTTTTCCGGACCGATACGACTTAGGGACCATCAAAAAAATTCCCCTGGTGTTGCGGTTGTTCATGGGCGAAATTCCACTATAATTAACACTTTCACTGCAAGGTTTCCCTGGTTGAGCCGACCCATTTGTGCTACAACTTCACTACTAATATAGCTGCTGCATGGCTCTACCACGTATAAATGTATTTTAGCAAGTGTGTAAAGTTTCATCTTACCCCAGATGTATCCTCGCCACTAATGGCGACCCGCTGAAAATGAGGAAGAACTACGTCCACCTCGTCGTCGTCGGGGATGCGGAAGCGCGCAGCTTCCTCTAAGGCGCCGCCCACCTCGCTGCCCGCGAACGAACGTACCGACTGACCGCATTCTGCTGCCCTGGTGACAATACGAAGAAACAACTTCAGAAAAAAGAAAAAAGTAACAATCTCGATAGTTAAAACAGTAAATTTAAAAAAAACCGACTGCGTACAATAGTCTATAAAAAAAAAAAGAAAATGAAACCCCATTAAACTTCCACAACTAAGACGAATAAACAACACTGCATAAATATACTTAAAACCGTCAAACAGTTTAGGCTACAGAGGGTGCCAAAGAAAAAAACATACTAAAATACATACATACATCCGTACAAATAAATAGGAGATTAGCCGGAACAAACAGACAGACAGACGGACAGACAGACAGATAGACATACTAGACCGTATATACTTTCAGATGCATTTAGTAAAAAGCTGTAATTTTGACATTACAAACCGACACTTCAATTTCATTTATTTGTATATATGAAAAAAATAAATTACCAAAATAAATCGATTACACAAAGTATAAAATCGATTTAGGCTGTATGGTATATTTCTCCTTTGTCTTTCAATGGCTAAAGAAAAAACTTAATAAAGCGCCTTTAAATTTTTAATTGCTATAAAATTATAAGACTTGATTATCATTTTATTAACAAGCGACGCGTACCTAGGCTATTGATATGAAATAGGGAACCAGTTGATGTAATTCTGAAGCTAATAAAAAAGCCCGGTCTCGATGCGTCAATTTTTTCGGGAGTTATCATGACCACATACAAAAACAACATCCAGACGTCCACGTAAATTTTTTTACAAACAGTTTTTTACCAATGGAGCAATATAAAATTATTTTTTTAGAAAATATACGATGGATTAATTAGAGTGTTTTCTTGATAAACGGTTACTCATATTATCGTATAAGTGGAATATGGTTATGATCGTGGTTATGATAGACGTATTTTAAGACTACAAAATTGCTTGACCTTGACTTGTCGAGAGTAAATACACTACTTAATAACGTTTCGCGTTATGAGGCGTGCAGTAATAAAATAGTTGTAGTATTTATTGATAGATCAGTTTCATAAAATTGTCAATGTCCGCCGGCACCAAAGAAATCGTTAATTGAATTTGAATTTATTTTAAGTGAAGGAAAACATCGTGAGAAAACCTGCATGTCTGAGAAATAAGAAAAAAAATATTTCGAAGATATGTGAAGTTCGCCATCACGCATTGGGGCAGCACGGCGAAAACTTTTCCTTGTCCTAAAACCCTCTCAGAAATGAGACGAGGCCTGTGCCTAGCGGTGGGACGTATATAGGCTGTAAAATAGGCTGTGAATAAATTTAAAAAATACATCTTTCACTTATTAGCCCCTATATTTCCATACGGTAAAAAAGTTACCCAGTATACGGGTAATTGGAAAAGTAATTAATTAACTTCATCATACAGATGCTTTCATAAGTTCACTCATTAAGCACGCTAAATCAACTGGTACGACCCAAAGATAATATTTATTTTGTAATTTCGCTGTGGCATTTGATCACCGCCACTTGTTTACATTGAGTAATTTACTAACGCCCTTATGTTTACTGTTGTGAACGTGGGTAGAAACGAAATTAGAATTGCTTCATTCAAAATAGACAGTTCGCCGCTTTTATCACAAAATTTTTTTTTTGGAGTTTATGGCCTGCTATCTAGACCTTTAGGCCAAGTCTTAAGTATTTTTATTCGGTTTATTGTAATTTCCCCACTCCTTCATAGTATACTGCTTCACAATATGTTGATGCGTCACATTGTGCAGTTCTTGGGTGATTTTGGCGGCAACTTGATCCAGCAGACAGCTGATAGTTGGCGATGGTATCTAAAGGTGCCTATGCAAACAAACAGCTTATCTTGAGAATCCATCACCATCAGAGCACTTGTTTCACTGTTTCCACTAATAGTTCACATGCGTAGACACTTAATACACAAAATCGCAACACTTTTACATATCAAAGTCCACTTCAAACCATTATTTAAACAATAATACAGGAGCAGCAAACCGCCGCCGGTCAATTTCCCGCCAAAACTCCTATCACAAAATTTCATTACAGCTAGGGTTGCCTCTTTTGGAGTATATTATATACCTTTCTAAGCTAAAAAAATAAGCTTAATGTTAGGTTGCAGACCGCGCACTCTAAAGGTTGTGGGTTCGAATCTGCACACAATATTATTACTACATTCTATGTCTAAGTTAAGATAACACTCTATTCCTTTCATTCTATCACCTAGCCATCATAGAATAAACTCTGGTAAATAATGATGAAGTGACAGGAATGAATAAAAGACATGACACGATTTTGTATAAAGGAGAATGCCAGATCGTGCCCCAACTTGTACAAAGAAGATAAAAATATGAAAAATAATCTTATCTTATGTTTTTTGTAATAAATCGTTATTTTGTACAACTTACATACATACATACATACATAAACACTCACGCCTGTCACCCAGAGGGGTAGGCAGAGATTATGGACTTCCATTTGGCACGATCCTGACACACCTCTCTCGCTTCCTCCACATCCATATACCTACGCATACACGCTCGTCGGTTAAAGGTACTCTTGATTTGGCCCATTTTTAATATATCGCCAATTTGGTCGATAAACTTTCGCCTAGGGCGACCCTTCCCGACTATGCCGTTCACCTCTGCAACATAAATTTGCTTTGTCACTCTTTCCTCATTCATTCTTTCTACATGGCCAAACCACCGAAGCATTCCTTTCTTAATCCTGGTCACAACATCATCTTGCAAACCACACTCTTCTCTTATTAAACAATTTCTCACTCTGTCATTCAGCTTCATCCCTAACATACTCCTTAATGACCGCATTTCTACAGCATTTATTCTACTCTCATGCTTCTTCTGCCACACCCAACTTTCACTACCATACATTAAAGTAGGTACTAACACAGCATTGTGAATTGCCATACGTGCCTTTTTGGACACATTCTGACTTTTCACAATAGAGTGTAGAGCCCCATTCACTCTATTTCCTGCATTCACTCGTCGTTCTATATCCTTATCATATCTACCATCCCTGCTAAACACACATCCCAAATATACAAACTCATCTACTTGCTCTACCAACTCCCCTTCTATTCTTATTTCACATATCGTTTTACTTTCTTCTCTTTCAAAAACCATAACTTTCGTCTTACTTGCGTTCACTTTCATTCCCTTTTCTTTTAATGTCCTGTTCATTAATGTAACCATCATTTGCAACTCGGCTGCCGACGACGCAAGTATGACTTGATCATCGGCGTACAAAAGGCATTTGACGGTTAACTCACCCATTCTTAACCCGCATTCTTCTACTTTCAAATTTTCCAAACAACTGTCCATAAACAGGTTGAACAACCACGGGGAAGCCACACAGCCCTGTCTGACACCTTTATGGATGTCAAACCAGTCCGAGTAGGCCCCGTTGATCCTGACACAAGCACTAGAGTCCCTATATAGAGACTTCAATGCCTGTATCAGACCAGCGCTCAACCCAAATGAGTTCAGTGTTTGCCATAACACATCCCTGTCCACTCTGTCATAAGCCTTCTCCAAGTCCATGAACGCACAAAAAACTTTTTGGTTTTTGGCCAAAAACTTCTCGGCGATCATGCGCATGGAAAAGACCTGATCCGTACATCCCATTCCCTTTCTAAATCCCGCTTGCACATCCCAAATTTTTCCGTCAGTTTCTTTCATAACTCTTTCAATTAGTACCTTAGCATACAGTTTTCCCACAATGCTAAGAAGGCTGATACCACGGTAGTTTTTACAGTCCTGCTGTGATCCTTTTCCCTTATATATTGGGACTATCACGGCTTTGCACCAGTCTCCCGGTACCCGCTTAAGTTCCCAACATAAATTAAACAAGGTGTACAGCAGGTCTGCCACCACTCCTTCTCCAGCCCTTAGCATTTCGAGAGATACTCTATCATAACCAGCTGCCTTACCTACTTTCATACTTTTCATTGCTTTCATTATTTCATCTATACTTATATCTCTATCTATTTCCTCTTCTTTCGGAATTTCTATTTCATTTAATTCAAACGTCTCATCACTCATAAACACGCTTTCAAAGTATTCCTTCCATCTCCTTAAACTCAAAACTTTGTACAACTTGCCGTGAAATATTATTTAAAAAAAGGAGTTCAACGATTAATATTTACATTTTCAGTCTTTTCTAATAACATCTGCGTTTCTTTGTATGAATAAGTACATACGTACGCTTAAAGTATCAAACAATACATATTTCTATTTAAATATATTAAGTCTTGTCGTATAAAAATGTTACATATCAATTTTTATATATCAATTATTATTATAAGTCGATAATAATCATGAATTGCATTAGATAATTACTGAATGACTTACTGCTAATTACTACGGACATCCTGATAATTGCATCCACGATATTGAGGTGCACTAATTGTCATCTTTGCATCGACAGGATATATATTTCATCGATAGGGGCATTTTGTGTCCTCATTTCGATTTACAATCTTAACTCTTCTTTCGACATGGAGATGTTTGCAACATATATTTAGTTTTATAGCTTTTTTATATAGTTGATAATTTATGGTCCTGCCGTTGTCGTAAAATTAATTACTAATCTGTAAATATTTACACCTTCTTAAGACACATGTCGTAATAATATTATGTATCTTGAGAAATAATTTAGTAAATAATATAACTCGTTTACATGACTAAGACTTAGATTTTATGAAAAACAGGTGGTGCTAGTTATATTGTGCAAGGACCTTGGGTCTACCCTATACAAGAGAATCCTTTTTCCAATGTTACTGATCATTATATTGTTATGCTCCTTAAATTCTTACTTATACGAGTATATATCAGTGTCTAACAAATTATATTCTGAAATTACAATGAACTGCAACGAATGCTGTTCTAAAAAATAAGGTAAATGTAATTATTAAAGTCCAGTTTAGAAAAAAATCGCAAGTTCTAGAGACTTCAAGTTATATAATTTGGATGGAGTAATAAAGTAGAAAAAAAAATTGCATACGACATTCATGTAC